CGCGGCCACCACCATCAGTTGATCCAATGTCTGGGCGGTTGGATCCAGCACTTTGCTCCACCGCTGCACTGGATGCCGAACCCCGTAAAGGCACTTGCAAACGGCCAGATAATGAGTCTCTTGCCGGGGCAATTGAACCAAATTGCCAGCGGCGACATCATGGGGCTCTTGCCAGGACAGTTGAACCAAATTGCCAGTGGCAACATCATGGGGCTCATGCCAGGACAGTTGAACCAAATTGCCAGCGGCGACATCATGGGGCTCATGCCTGGGCCAATGCAACTTCTTGGAGGTGGCCAAACGAATTCCATCCAGAATATGCTTACGTTGGGCAACGCGCTCATGAAGTGTTCAGACTCACAGCAACAGGACTTGGTCCAGTGCCTCGGCTTCCAGATTGTTGGGAGCGTCCCTCCCCTGAACTTCTTGAACCGCCTGGGCGACATCTTCGGAGAGTTCATCGCCGCCTTCGCAAAGGTCGCCTCCACAGTGGCGGCTCAAGCGATGAAGGGAGGGGAATCGTTGCTGCAGACCGCTGCCACCACGGAGTTCCCCTCTGCCGGCGCTCAGGCGATGGTGCATCACAGAGGCCAGGAACTCTGCACCTCTAGGGCACTTTAGAGATTTAGAGGGCACGCGGAACACAGAACCTCCTGTGTAGGTCGTTCTTCTGCTGTAAATGAGCTTCTGCCAGCCCCAACCTAACGCGATGGAAGAGACAAACTCCCTTATTCCATCGCCGCACGAGCTGTGCAAGAGCAGACTTTGCACCATAGTACCAACCTGCTCTCACCTGAATGCGCAGGACCCAACCTCGTCATTACGAAGCACTCGCAGCAGCTGCCAACGAGACAGCAAGCGTTGTTGCAGGAGATGGCCAACCTGGAGGCATGCTCCGCTGCTTTGCCATTGCAGAAGTCCCAAAGTAAGAGAAGCTGCCACCATGGGCCAGAGCAGGTCCCGACATCAAGCACTTGCAACCCAAAATAAAGATGGATATCTATGTCTAATTATTCAATTAAGTCGCTACCGAGTGTGTATCTCTACAAATTTATTTGCACATGTATAGACATGCATGTGTGTGTTTGTCAAAGTACCGTATGCGCAATGTGAGTTTTTAGGCTTCGATCTTCGAACAGACCCGATACCGTCCATCGCCATGATTCTTCATCGAGATGCTTGGGGCTTCAGACTGCCATCTAGCGGAGGCACTGAAGCCCAACAGCCGGCATTGCACAATAGAGAAAGCACTCCGTTCTCAAGTATGTGTGGCCAAAAACCCTTAGAGAACAACAATTGTTTCACCTTCAGCAAGATCATGATGCGAGGCTCGTCAGATCTGGTTAAAATCAAGGAGCTTGCGCATAACAAACCCATAGAGAAGGGCCCGAAGTGTGAAAACATGGTGTCTATGATGTTCCAAGATGGAGTGTAATTGGCAGGAAACCCCAGAGAGGGTTTCTGTTTGTGGGAACACGTGTATCTAAGAGTTTCTGATTCGCAAGCAAATCCGATTGTAAAGCAAGCAGGGGGATAGGACGTGCATCTGGGAATCCCATCCAACGAAGCTGCGATACCAAGCTTGGCCAGCTTGGCGTACCTGCTGTTTCACACGAGTTTAGAGTTTTTCGTATTGTTAGAAGAAGAAAGAGAGCCACCCACAGATTTCAAGATTCGGGCAACCGCCACCTTTTCTTGAGGTGAGTCTGTCCGTCGATCCATCGGCCTATGTACGTAGAGGTATACCTATCCATCGATCTAGCAAATAAAGCATCCTTTCATCTCGGTCTATCTATCTATCCATGTATCCGTCTATCCAACTATCCATCTACCCATCTATCTATCTACCTATCTAACTATCATCTATCGATCCATCTATCTATCCATCCATGTATCTACCGATATTTCGGTCTATATTATCGCTCTATCTATGTATCTATCTATCTATCTATCTATCTAATTACCTACCTATTTATCTATCTATCTACCTATCTATCGATCTAACTATCTTACCTATCTGTTTATACAATATGTTTGTACACATGCATACTTACTTCCTTACATACATGCATGCATGCATACATACGTTTTCACCGGCATGCATACATACTTACATACGTACATGAACACACACAAAGGATATGGCCAGGAGTATGTATGTATGTAAGTCTGTAAGTCTGTATATGTATATGTATAGCATGTAGATGTATGTGTACGTACGTATGTATACATACATTGTATACCTCAACTGATTTCGTCGAGCGCGAGTGCCAAAGTGTATGTATGTATGAATGTATGTATGTACGCATGTATTCATGTAATGTAATGGAATGTCATGTAATGTCATGTAATGCACATAATGCATGTAATGTATGTGTATGTGATGTATGAAATGTAAATAATGTCTGTGTGTGCATGCATGTGTGCGTACATAACTATACCTTTGTACATTAGTCTATATCTTTACCTACATATGTATCTTTCACTGTATATGTACACAGGTGCATGTACACATATACATATATATATATACACACACACCCAGACACTGTATGCATATGTATATGCTTACATGTGTATATGCGTAGATACACATGTATGCATATGTGAATATATGTATACATATATTCACATATATACATTCATACATACATACATGTATGTGTTCTCAGCAAGCAGGCCCCAGCACAGTGGCAACACAAAGGGGGGAGCCACCAGCACTCGTTCATCTACATGGTGTGTTGTTACTGCTGTTTCTCCCTGAAGTGGGGACACAAGGTCTTATCCAGCACTTCGGGAGCCCACAACATACTGAGATCATTTATGGCCTGCTCATTGCTGATGTTTTCTACAAGTGGACCCCAGTATAGCACTGGGGGAACCACCAGTACTCGTTCAACTACTTGGTCTGTGTTGAGTGTGCTTGCTGAAAGGTGGGAAACACCAGCGAGCGACCCCCACTACAGTATACAATCTGTCCTGAAAAACTATGGTCTTCGTCCACTGTCTTCCCAATCCTTGTCTTAGCTCACTGCACACAGTTGCAGACCGTAGCTAACATAAGGGGAAATTGGCTGTCGAGGGTTCTAGGACTTGCCATAGAGGGCGCGGTGATGAGGCCGGGATGCAGGTAGTGTTCAGAGTTGGGGGTAAGATTCCACGACAGCCGATTGTACCCGTACTCCCGTGGGCCCCAAGCTTTTTCTTTCACCAACCAAAGAAGGAGGGGGGGTGCCTCGACAAGGGTCTACTTGTGCGGACCGGCACCCAACAACAGGAAATAAGGAAGGAAGGAAGGCATGAAGGAATAAAGTGAGAGAGAGAGAGAGAGAGAGAGACGGACAATTGTTCCAGCCCTTCCTAGGGACTTCAGGAGTGGATGACCCGAATGATATGTGGCAAGGGTTTTTGAGTGGGTTTAGGAGGGGAGGTTTCGGCGTGGGGTCAACACAGGCATTCGGGGGAGCACTTCTTTCCTTCCCCGAAAAGGGGCCGAGCAGACAGGCAGCTGCGCGCCGTGAGGGGTCGGCCATTGGGCCAAGCATCCCCAGGCCCCCGAAGCGAGCAGGCAAGAAAAAGAGAGAGAGAGAGAGAGAGAGGGAGGGAGGGTGTCCTCACTGCGGCCCGTGTACTGAACACCCCCGAAGGCCCCATGAACCTTGGGGGGCCCTATGGGCCGGGGGGCATGACTGAAAACTGAAACCTGAAGAGGGAGGGAGAGAGATCCGGGCCAGGGCTCTTTAAGCAAGCAATAGAGAGAAAGAGCGAGAGCCGAGCGAGCCGAGCGCGAGAGCGAGGTGAGTGAGGGAGTGCCCCAAAGCCATGGGAAAGAAAGAAAGAAGGAAAGTGAATGCCTGAGTGAGAGAAAGCTGAGGAGAGACAGACTCATCCCGGGTCACTGCCAGGATTCCGAGGATCCACCGGCTGCAGTCAAGTGGAGTTTCGAAGATTACGGCCCCGAGACCCACGCGCTGGTCACCCAGCTCCTCGTCTAAGGTGGCATTTTGTAAAGTGCTACCAGCGGACCGGAAATTTCTAGTCGGAGGGATTTCCACCTGCCTAAAGTAGATGCCTAGAATCCAACCTGCTATGGTGAAAGGGTTAAAAGCCTCGCCATATAGGGTACAGATCCGTCATGCGGTGCCATGCATCCGCAACGTCCAGCATCATCAGCATCCAAGGTTTAACGGCAGGGAGACGGCGACCGGATCCTGCTTGGCGTTCGCACCCAGGAACAAGACCGGCAGCAACAACCAGGCGACTCAGGAGGACTGGCAAGCAGAGACCAAGGACGACTTTATCAAACTGGAGCCCTGGGCAGTGCCTTGTGGCAACCAGTGGATGAAGGACCATTGGGACAAGTGGCAGGGGTATTCCTTTTACTCGGTGGACTTTTCAATTGAGAAATGCTTGACGGTGACTTTCCAGTTGAACATGCAGCCTGTGGTCGCCTTCGTGGGTGGCATCCAGTTCGACTTGCTGCCCGGGCCGTTGGCCGAGATCGACACACAAGTCAGGGGCTTAACATGGTTCGTACAGTTTGTAACTGCTTTTGCCACCCAATTTATTTGTCTGTGGGCTGGGGCCGGGACCCAGGGTCTCTCCACCAGACTGCAAAGCCGACGAATGTTGGGTGGGGGGAGCGCGGCTCGGGCGGCGGGCGGGGGCGGGGTTCTTTTTCCGGGAAGTGGATGAAGAGGGGGGGGAAGAACCTTTGTCCACTTCGGCCGGGGCCGAGGCGAACGTAGGGTTCAGTCGTAGGCACGGGCATGAGTGCATGTGCACTGCGGCCCCTCCTCAAAGAGGTATGCTCGGCGGCACGACGCGACGCCGCCGCAGTCGGAAACAGAACCGGGCAAAGATGGGACTAAGACTTGCTTACCTCTGCACTCTGCGCCCTCCTATTCACGAGGTCTGCTGGCCGCGGCACCAGCCGGGTGGGCTGGACCTGAGCGTGTTGCGGTCCGTCATCAAGTCGAACGGCGTGATGCTCTTCAGCCGGACACTTCGTCTGTCCAAGAGGTTTGGCGACGACACGCACT